TCAACAATGCCCACCTCTTTGCAGTCAGTTCCCATGGCCTAAGCAATAGGAAAATACCTGCATGAAGTCCTCTTTGCTGTGTGACCTCACCAAGCACAGCACACACCCTCCCAGCAGCATCGGGCACTGCTCAGCACACGGGGCCTGCACTGAGGGACTGAGGGGAGCAGGGAGAAAGCTGATGGAGCCTGCAGGTAGGGTCAGGTGTCCTCCACATCACCCACAGCTCTCACCCACGGGCCACAAGCTAAGCAGCATCTCACCAAAGCTTTGCAGCAACTCCAAAGCCAGATTTGGAATGCAACCACAACTAAATAAAATATGCATACCTAAGTTGTTACTTTTTTAAATAGTCAGTAGTTTCAGGAATATTTTGTCTTTTCTGAAATGTCAGTATATTCAGATTCATTATTTTGTTAATAGGAAACCATAAAATTTCAGCTATAATTCTTATAAATCTAAACCACTGCAGAGAGATCCATTACATGGCAATAGGCACCTTTTGAGACCTTTTTCAAAACACAAGCAGAAGTCATCAGCTTGTTCTATCAACCCTTGAACAGATACAAAAATACTTTCCTCTCTAGAGCTATACAGAAGCAGTAACAAAAACCTGCTGCAGGAAACAAAATGATTTCTAGTGTCACACATATTCCCTTGCTCCAATATAATAACTAACATTTACTGAAATAAAGCATAGAAAAGTAAAATGCATATAATGTTGTGTAAGGGCAGGACTAATAAGCCATTAAATTCAGAGCCATAAGAAAATAAACCATTCACCTACCTACCAAAAAAAATTTCACAAAGAAACCCATAACCAACCAACACATGTTCTCAGATACTTTTTTGGGTAGGTATTGTGATCAGCCTCTCAATCACAGATCACAAACTACCCTGCTATATATGCCAATCTTCTTACATCTACTCCCTCTTCTGATCATATTCTTTTACAAAAATAAGCCTTCCAAAGGCAGAAATCATAGCTAGCTACTCAAGTAAAAAACGTGCAGAATAGACAACAATGAAGTATATACATGGACAAAGCAGCTACCAGACCACTGAATTATTTTCCCTCAACACAAGAGATAGCTGCACACAAATCGAGTCCTACCTGTCCTTCATTTCTGACTCAAATTGGCATAAACAGGTTTAAATAGAGACTGGTCCTAGGCTCCTCCATGCAAATCTGTAGCCAATAAAGGCTAGGAAAACCCAGGTGCCACATGAAAGCCACAGGGGTACCCTGGGTGATCAAATTTTCCCACATTCCTATCTCCAAAATTGGGTGCCAGATCTCAGAAAATGTTGTGAAAGGTTTTCCTTTCCCTCTTCTCTACCCAAGATCTCACAGATCTAGGAAAATTAAACAGTGGAAAACTTGGAAATACAGAAATACTAAAAACTGATTGAGTATTCTGTGAAATAATGGAATGGCATAACCCATTAAATCTAGAATTCTGGTCTAGTCTCAGTGATCTCACCCATCAAACTGACAAGATATAGAAAAAGACCCACAGTTTATGTGCTGATACCCCCAAACACTGAAACATCTTTCTTGATACAAGCTTCCCAACTTCAACAAACCAACACCAGTCCTACAATTATCTGTGATGATCTAAATGAGGGTCACCTTCAGATATTTCCCTTACTTTGTATTTATTCTCACAAAAAAATTAATTTCCAACTTCACCAGATTTTTATGAACTTCAAGATGAGAATATTTAAGGAAAATAAATTCTAGTTAAAACAGCATAGGATTAAAACTACAATTTTAACCTTGTGCTCTCAAAATGAGTTTTTGCTACATCACTCTTAAATAAATACTCGACCTTGTCAAAAGTCACATCAGATCTCAAGGCTTATTACCCTTAAACTACAAAGATGCAGAACTTTTTGAAAGCAGATTTTTTTCTAATATAAAAAGCCCACTGAAGTCACTGTACCAATCTCCAAACACAAAACCTGTTCACTGAGTGGAAGAGCTTCACTGGTGTACTGTTCAGAGCAGCCTTTAGGCGAACGAACGCTGCCCCGAGAGCTGCAGTTCGCAGATGTGACAGGGCCAGGGTGACCCAAGGCGCTCCCGCCCCCCGCGCCCCCTCCCCGTGCGGGCCCCGCCGCCGGGGCGCCCCCTGGGGACCGGGGGCGGCCGCTGCACCCCCGCCAGCCCGGCACGCCCCGCGCCCGGTCCCGGCCGGCCGGGGGGGCTCCCGCTCCGGACCAGGCGGTTCCTCCGCCCGCGGCCCGTTCCGCTCCACCTCTGCGCGGAGCCAAAGGACGGCAGCGGCAGGAGGCAAAAGGAGCCCCGGAACAGCCCACGCCGCACGACTGCCGGTGCCAATGACCCAGGAACTGCGGGACCTTGAGGAACTCCCGTTTGTACTCAGCCTTTGAGTTTAAAGGGAGATCACCTAAAACGCTGGACGGCACTGAATCGAAACTACAGCTACAGGGTATGTCACCATTTAAGTTCTTGAGATGCACGTGAAAAAGAGCTCTTTCCATTCCTCAATATATTTGCTGTGCGCAAGCTTTTTTTCCTACCTAAAACTCCAATTGCCCGCTCACCTCTGTTTCCCAAGGACTAGATTATCACTCTCTTCTTGTCAATGATCCTCATATAAGATGAAGCTTTCAGAATATGAATGTTGTAAGTGATGCCGAGAAAGAGAGCAAAGCTTTTATTTAAGAGTATTAAACTGGTATGTGGCTGGCTGCTATCAATCACTTCTTTCCATGACAAAACAAGTACTGAACCAGATGATGCTCTTGGAAATTCTCACATCTCCCTGACAGAGACCACATCGACAACATATTCCTCTATCCAGTATGTTTTCTTAATTGCACACATCGAAAAAAAGAAAAGAGGAAAAAGGAGGAACAAACAAACAACACAAAACAAAACAACATCCACCACCAAAACCCAACAGTACCATTTTGGAAGCTCACACCTACAATATTCTTCTAAGTTTTCAAATCAGTCAGAGAAGAAATGGCCACTGTAGGAAGAGATCCCACTAAGTTGGAAACCTTGTCTCATCTGACAAAACACTGAATTCCAGTACCATAACCAACAAGCACAAGTAACAAGCAGAAATATTTGCTTATTTTCTGGGATTCATTTGGTGAAAATAATCAACTGAAGTATTTCAGGTTTCTGTAAAACATACAACCTGTTTTTACTGGCACACAAGTCTCAGAAAAGCTCATCTCTCCTAAAATATTTGCCTGCAGCAAAACAACTGAGACAGTAAGACCACAAATGAAAATGACAAACGAGGATTCTGGAATCATTCTAAATTTGAGCCATAAGTGACAAAGAGCAATCTAATTTTAAAAAGTTTATAAAGCTTTGATGTGCCAACATCATTTCATGACTTAACTAAGTCTAACACAGTTGCTCCCACCACCAAGAGCAGGAACTTTCAAGTGGTTTGTTGCCTGCAGCTATTTTCTACAGGAGAATGCAGTAGCATGTAATATTCAAGAGAAGCTGTCTACATTACTTTATTTTTTTATAATTCAGTTACTGTTGGTAAGTTATACTGGGATGAAATAAACCTAGAGAGTATTTAACTGACAATTCTATTTACACTCCTTCCAAGTGGAAATTATTTCACTCCAAATGTTTAAAGACTTGATCACGTAAAGTTCAAATGTGATATATTTATGGAATCTAAGTTAGATTACCAACCACCTAACTGAATAGTCCAATTTATAAAATGAATGCTATTCAAGTAACATAATGCATTTTTAAACTAAGTATTTAAATAAGCTATGAAATAGCAATTTTTTGTCACTTCACAGAGCCCAGTTTTTTAAAGGTATATTCAAATATCACAGAATCCTTGATTTAAATCAACTCAAATTAATTTGTTTTCAGTCGCAAAACATCAAGACTTTATATCTAAAAGATGAGACCTGTACACAAATTTTACCTTAACTTCTTAAATACAAGTTTAACAATCCTTACATTGGTTATTGACTTTATTCAGCATTATCTTCTTGAAACTGTAGATGTATGAAAAATCTCCAAAAGCATAACTGGCCTAAGTAATAACTTGGAAGTTATCTGAAGGCTAGGAAGCATCACAGAAAAATTAAAGTTTCTCCTATCTCCCAGTTCCATGCCTGTGGGTTTTTTGGTTGGCTGAATTTAAGCTTATACAACAGCCAACTTTAAGTTTACCACAGCTAACTTAATACAAACAACAGCAACAGAAATTCAGGGTGTTGTGTCACAGGTTGCACAAAGCCCACCTGTAGACAACACAATGAAATGTCACTGGTTTTGTCAAGGACCAACATGAGCCATATGAGTTACATAGCAAGATCTATTTGTCAGAGATGAGATTCAATCAATATTTTTCTCCTTTGTATAACTTTGAAGTTTTTTTAGTCTTTGATTAAGCAGAACAGTGTGGGGATTCCAGCCCGTTCACCTCCAGGGCGTTCAGCAGCAAAAAATATTCATGTTAATGTTAAAAGCAATGCATTTCTCACACCTTGTTTCATTTAGCAATGAAACTGTTATTGTGCCATAAAAGAAAACAAACTATGTTACCCAATAACGAGCCCTATACCAGATCTGTGGTATTGAGTTTGTGACTGATCACCAGGAAGACAGATCCACAAAATTATGAGTTGAGGATAATGAACAAGTGATACCAAGATGACAGAGATTAATGATGGTCAATTGCACAAACACTCGTGGTATTTATTTCTCTGCACACAATCAGCCAGCCTGCACATGGGTAAGTCTTGGGAGAGTTCAACACCAGATAAATACTCCAGGAATAATAATAAATAGACTACTGATTTAAAGAAAAGAGACCATGAAAAACAGAAAAAGTTGCGTCGAATGGGCAAGCACTACAAACGAGAAAGAAGTAATCAATCACAAATGGGGACGGAACTGCCAAGAGTTAACAGGGAGACTTAACAGGGAGACTTATTCTTGGAGAACAACCCCTCTCCGTACGAAACCCTAGGAACTCTCAATCTTGGTCATTTAACACAGGATTCAACACAACTCCCAGAGAGCCCGAAAGCGGTCGTGCAAAGGCTTCCAGAGAAGCGATCCAAAAGGCGTTTTCCTGCGGTTCCCTCCCAGCAGCCCGGCGAGCCGCGCCAGCGGGACGGGGAGCGGAGCGGAGGGGCCCGGCCGGGCGCGGAGGAAGCGGCCGCCTCCCGCGCGGCGGCGGCCAATGGGCGGCGGGCGCGGCCCGAGGCGCGGCGAGCAGGCCCGGCGGGGCCGCCGTGACGCACTTGGGCAACCGCCCGCCCGCCCGGGCCGCGCCGGCACGGCCCCCCCGCAACCGCGCCGGGCGGCGGCCCCGGGCCGCGCAGCGACAACGCGGGGTCACACCGGCGGCTCGGGCGCCTCGGGAGACCGGACACGCCAGGGTGTGGCTCGGGGAGCGAACGGGAAGGGAGAGCTTTCGAGCGCGGGCAGAGAGGGCAGGCGGGGGGGCAGCAGCGCTACCCGGGCTGCCAAAAAGTAATTAAAAAATAAAACAAACGGGAAAAAAAACCCCTAAACAAACAAAAAACAAGAAAACCCAACACCAAACTAAACAACCAGCCACACACTCCCCCTCAGTAACTAGAACACCGGACTCGGCGGTGATCGAAACTTTGTGTCACCTCCTAACGCCGCATCCCGTGGGAACACAAGAAAGGAGAGCCGGGCCCGGGCAGTACAATAAATAAATAAAAGCAGCGACAGAGGAGCCCGATCGCTTCCACGCCCGCTCGCGGGGGCGAGGAGAGAGGGGCAAGAAAAAAATTGAGGTCGGTGGGTCCCGGATTTCCACGGGGTAGACGGATTATACAACGCTAGCAGAACAGAGGAAGGCATGGAGGCAGCGCGGCCGGGAGCACAGCGGTGCGGGCCCCCAAGGCCAGCACGCCCAGCACCAAGGGATGCGCTCGGGCAGGGAGAGGAATTCCCGGAAAACAGGGCCTCCCAGCCCAGCCATCTGCGGCCGCTCACTCCTCTGTCCCTCCGTCCCTAACCGCAGCAACTATTTATATCTACACGTATATCTATATATATATATTAATTTTTTAAATCCGTGTAGAAAAAATAAGCGCCCAGAAAAGAGAAACACCAGGAAAGCTCTCGTTTCCTACCTGGGCAGGGTTCAGCTCAGTTCAGTGCGTGCCGAGGAGGAGGGGGCAGAGGAGCACTATCTAAAACAAAAGTGGCGCCAAAACCCCCCAGTAAGAAGCATTCTCCTTCCTCCTCCTCCTCCTCCTGCCCCCCTCCCCCACCGGGGCCGGCGAGAGCCCAGCGGGGTTCCAGCAACACGCGGCTCCCGGCATCGGGCGTCCCCGGCACAAGTTGGCAAGCGCCCTTTCTTTATAAAAAAAATAAAGGAAGCCGAACGGAAACTGCCACAACTCTTCCTCTTAGCGGACAGCAGCCGAGGAGCTCGGCCAAAGTCACTCGGAGGGGAAAACTCGACCCACAAAGGCCTTCGCCGAGCTGGGCGCCGGGGCGGGGGGGCAGCGAATGGAGGCGGGGGGGGGAAGGTGCAGGTCAGTCCCTACCTACGTCCTCACTTGGGCCGAAGGAGCCCCGCTTCCGCCAGCCCTCCTATGCAACCACGGGGAAGGGCAGCCAGAGTTCCCCAGCTCTGGGAAGAGACTGAGGAGACAAACCCCGATCCCTCGGCACTTCCCTGCGCGGGGAACCCGCCGGGAGCGGGCTGGAAGGAAGAACTCGGCTGCTGGGCAGCGGGGAGCAGGGGGAAGGGAGCGCTGTCAGGGGTGCGAGTCCCCTGCCCGCGGCCTCCCCCGACATTCGACCCCGGGGCACCGGCAGCAGCCCCACCATTTTCTCTGCGCGGCCCAGCGCTCCCCCCGAGCGCGGCTCGGGCCCCGACCCCATCCCCCTGGCTTGCCCACCCGAGCGGCCCGGCCCGGCCCGGCTCGCCCGCACACACACCCCACGCACACAATGCCCGAGTCCTCCATCTTGCCGGCAGCCCCTGCTCGGCTCGGCAGAAGGGGGGAGGAGGAGGAGGAGGAGAAGGCGGTTCTCCATTTTAGCTCGCCGAGCGCCGGGCCCGGCCTGCCCGCGGCCGGCTCTGGGGAGGAGGAAGGGGGCCGGGGCGGGCAGGGGGGCCGCTTTCGGCGCCCTCTCGCTCCCTCACTCGTGCTCCGCTCACCTCCCCCCTCCCCGCCGCGGCGCGCCGGGAACGGGGGGTGGGGAAGCGGGGGGCTGGAGTGTTTTCGCGGCTCGGCCCCGCCGTCCTCCATCTTGGCTGCGCGCAGTCCCCGCGGCTAGCCGGCCTGGCGCCCCGTGCGGGCCCGGGCGCCGCGGGCCCTGGCCCGGCCTCTCATCGCCGCCGCGCTCCGCGATCCCGTGTCCCCCCGCCAAACTTCCAGAAGCTTCGCCGCCATTTTCTAACTTACCTTGCCCAGTGTCGGCGTAGGCAGCGAGGAGGCCCCGGCGCGCAGCTCCGCTCCCGTATCCCCGGCGCGGCTCGCCGGCTGCGCGCCCGTCCCGGCCGGTGCCGGGCTGTGGGCGCGGAGGGGGCGCGGGGCGCGGGCGGGTCGGGGTTATTTAATTTGGCGGCGGCGCTGGGGATTGTTTGGGGTGTTCGCTGCTCGGCGGCTCGCGGGCGAATGGAGGGCGCAGGCGCCACCTGGCGGCCGCCCAGCGGGGCCCGCTCTCCTGGGCGTGGGGCGACACCTGCCGGCCGCCCGCGGCAGCACCGCGCCGAGCGGGGTAAACAAGGTGCGGCGCATGCTCGGGGCGGGCCCGGGTTGGGCTCGGCAGAGGGGCCCGGCGCGGCCTAAAAAGGAGCGGCCGCTCGGACACGGGGCCAGCCCGCGGGACGCGCCCGGCCGCACGCAGGCCCGGGCTTTGCTGCTGTAACCCTGCAGTAATTGGATGTAATTTTCCGGCCGAGGCAAAGCTGGGCCTCACGGAAGTGCCCCGCGGAGCCGATGCCGCAGGGTCCTGCTCGCCCCCCGCGCTGTGCCGCGGGAAGCGGGGCTGGGCCGGAGGGAGCCCTGGCCCGGGAGATAAACGCGCGGTTCCCTCGCAGGGGCCGGGTGCCTTATCTCGGGCACTGCAGGACGAGCACGGCAGCCAGGGCTGCTGGCACCGCTGGCAGCTCCCGTGGACTCAGCGTTCTCCAGAAATGCGTTCTGCTTCTGCCCATCGCCCCGTGTGCTCCCAGTTCAATGAGCGTTTGTGGGATTCCTTAATTCTCCCTGCATGAGGATTATGTGAACCTAAAGCGATCCATACAAGCAGTGCAGAATTCTTAAAGTAACCAGATATGCAATTTGTGACGCCTGATTTTTTTTTTCACTTTATTTTGTAATGGTAAGCACATTGCTCATGCTGAATAGTTCCACTTACGATTATCTTTAGATCAGTCGGCACAATAATAGTTTTGTCCTGGTAATTAGGTTCCAATCACTCTCTTGTGTTTATCTACTTATAATTTTGGGGACAGCGTTAGCATAACTAAGCAGTCGCTCAAGCGAGTTACTCTGCTGACCTGCCTAACAAAGGCAGGGTATTTAAGAGAAGAGTATCCACCAGCTCCAGTCTTTTCAAAACTAAGATGAGGCATCCCGCAGAGAAAATAATGCGTACAATGGAAACCGTGATCAGATTAGGAGTGTTTAAAATAAAACTTAAAAAAACCCCAAAAACTAAAGCCAGTATAATAGAAACTGATCACACCTAGGAATACTAGATACAATCTGTCGGTACATGAGACAGGCTTACAAAAATAAATTATGTTCTGTAGCTTGAATTCACATTTCAGAATAATTTTGCACCTTCTGTCAAGTTCAGGGGAAACAAAACAAAACAAAACAAAAAAGGCAGAAAGACTGCCTGGTAGGGAACACTTTAAAATAGCATCCTAAGTGCCCAGTCATACAACCATGTTCACGGTTTCAATTACAGCTACAGGTGCTGCTGATGATCTTTAATGTTACTCTGATAGTGTCTGGAAAATGTTGAAGAATTGTGTATTAAAAATAAACAAACCCACTGAATTTAATGTAAGCCTTAAAATTTTTCTATATTGTTATAAAACAACATTTAGGAATACATGGAAAGGAGCTGGATCCTTTTGTGCCTTTCCCACACAAAGTCAACTTCTGACAGCTGCCATATAGACAACCTTTCCATAAAAATAAACTACAACATTTTGCCTGCACACAGAATTCCAATAACGTGCCTTCTGCTTGAGATACAATAGGGATAATTCATATTAAAACTCCAATCCAAAACTTTGCAAGATTATAGCAGTTTACTGCAGGAGCTGGCAGGAACCCGAGGCAGCTCCAGTCAGCTGTACATGAAATACATGTACAGCACATGGATTTTGTTCTATTCCAAAAGCACTGCAGTTCACACTCGAGCTCACAGCTGAGAGGTTTTAGGTAAATGTGCTTACCTAATGTGAAGCCAACATGACATAGTTTTTAAGGTGTGGTTTTGAATGAGTGTGCAAGTGCTGACAATACCATGGCAGAGTTCAGCCCATTCCCAAAGCTGACTCAGGCCTTGGAAGCCCAGATCCATAACACTTCTGGGTGTCCTGACTCACAGGACAGAATTTGCTTTTTTCTGCTTGAGCCAAAACATGGAAGTGCTCTAGAGCCCAGGCTCCAGGTGCAGCAGCACACTACACGCCCCTGGTCCCCGAGCCTGCCTAAGAGGATTTCACACTCTGCAGTTCAGTTTCCTCCCTTGCAGTTGTTTCATTCAGCTGTTTGCTCAGTCCTGTCTTAGCAGGGCTGTTGCCTCATCGGAGAAGGAGAGAACATTTGTTTTCTGAAGTTTGATTCCCCCAGCCCAGATCATTTCTCTGAGCTGTTCCAGTACAGCTGCAGAGCACTGAAGTCAGCACAGCTGAAGGTGCTGAGCGCTGTGCTGAGGCCAGGAAAGTTTCTGCTCTGCTCCAGTGACCAGAAGACAGGAATTTCTTAAGTCAACTGAGCCCTGTGAGGATTCCTCCTTTAAGGGGGCCAAAGTGGCTCTCTGAAGAGCCTGACTCCTGCATTTTCCTCATGAAGAGATCGTGCTGGGACTGAGCTTTCCAGTTGGTACAACAGGGAAGTTGATGAAAAGCAATTCCTCTGCAAGCTCTTCACTTCTTTCTAAGCTACCACTTCCAGAGTGGGCTTCTACCATCAGTTCAGACTTTGGGAAAAGAAACAAGATCATCCTGAAGTTTCTGTATAGTTTTAGCATACTAGCATCCTTTCCAATACAATGAAAAATGTAAAAGAAAAATAAGTGCTATCTAAGCATTGTAAAGAAAAAGAGATATTTTAAATTCTGACCTGTCTAGAAAGGATTTATATCTGATAGAAAAGAAGTTCTGTGAAAAAGTAGGAGAATGTATTTCACAGGACTATGTAATCTTTTTCAAAAAAGCTACTCTTTAGGTGCTTCAAATTCCACCATTTCTGATATTGAGCCCAATTTAGAGAGGATTTAACAAAGACTTTACAGGCACTGTTATGCTTGATCCAAAGAGAGCTTCATGATCAGTGACACAGGAAACTGAGCAGGGAGAGGGCAGATATCAATTCTGTGTCTGAATTAATGGCCAGAGGTTCACCACGAAAGAAGATCAGAATAAACTCAAACTGCCAGATGGCTGATTCATTTTCCCAGGCAGGAGATTCATGCTCATGCTGCTTCCTTTTCTTTTCATGTTTCTTCCTTTTCTTTCTCCTGCAGAATAGGAAGCCCCTCTGGAGGTCCATTTCCTAATTTGTATTATTTTAAAAACCCAAATAAACAAAACAAAACAACCAATCAAAAACAAACAACAAAACCCAAAAATAACAAACAACAACCAAAACCCACCAACAACACACCACCACCCACAATCATTTATTTCTTTAAAGACTTTTCTTTTTGAGAATTGGAAAAATAAACCAGAATTTGTATACTGGATTTCTCCCAAGGTGAGGTGTTAGCTTTGATGGCCTGTACTGAATAAGCCATGACCATACTTTTGTCTGTTGAGATGGATACAGAAGGAAAAAGCAGTCTTCCCAGTTAAAATTTTTTTCCCAGATTTTTGAATCTGGCTTAGTCACTCCAGGGAAATCTGCTCTAAATCCTTTTGAAGATGAGCTATTACATAAGAAACAAAAATAAAGACAAAAAAATGGGTTACTTTCCCATAATTTGCAGGAGATTGCACATCAGTAGCTCCTTAGGTCTTTCCCTGCTCTGTGAATAATTTCTTCCTTTTTCCATTTATGTAAGTCTCCCTTGTGTGCACCTATTTCTCACCAGGTCTTTCCAGAACACCCAACTCATGTCTGAATTTTCTTTGATTCAGTAAGTTTCTGCCTGCTCCTTCTGTGAAGGAGCACAGAATCAATTTGTCCTGTACCACTACAAAGGAAGTTTTAACTCCCCTTCATCATCAGCTCTAAAAATGAACAGAATCCCAGTAAGTTGCAGATGCCTTCCTGCCAATTGCATTATGAGCAGCAGCTTTACTCAGTCCCCTGTGCCACTTGTTACCCAAAGTCCTGAGCTCCCCTGTTTGAGTGAGGTACTCTTTCTATGTCTCATTCTTTGAGAGAAAAATCCCTTAGCTGGATTCTAAAGTTCCATCAGCAAACTGCTGTAAAGGCCACAGCAGTTTTTGGTGGGAAATAGTGAAAAGCCCTTCCCCTGGCTGCAGTCAGGACAAGCCACTTTCACCTGAGGCATCACCTCACCCTAGGTACAGGAGCAAGTGTTACCAATCAGGCCACCTCTCTTGGATCCAGGACACAATGTGCTCCAGTTTCTGGATGCAGGGAAGTTTTTGAAGACAGGCAGGACATTATTTGTGTTCTGTAGCTAAGTCCAGGCAGAGGGACCATGAATCAAGGTCCATTTGATGGGTCGGGCACTGTGACAGCATCAGTGACAAAGTCTGAGGAGGAAGCACAGGAACCAGAGAAACATGTTTGAAACTGGGTAAGCCAGGTAAGTGGCAGGGCTCCCTTAAAGGCAGCAAAGAACAGAGTGTGTGACAGAAAAAGGGCTGGGGTAGGAAGCTGCCAAGGACTGAAATAAAGTCAAGCAGGCCAAACAGCACAACTGATGCCAAGTAAGGGCAGCAGCTTTAGCTGAGAAACAGCTAAAACCCAGTGAAACTCTGTCATTCTCTGGATGTGTAGGGCACCTAACCCATCAGGAACACAAAGCAGTTCTCAGCTGGTCAGAGCTCATGGGGCCCCAGACCCCTCTCCAGAGACTCTGACACGGAGCCAGGGCTTGCCTAAAAAGGGGAGAAAGGAGGCTGGCTTGTGGTTAGGTGAAATTAGAGTGGAAGTGAGACAGAAACAACATTATTCAGCTCAACTTCTGCCCAGGATCATAGAGCAAAACAATTATGAACAACAGTCAAATACTTTTGTGTTAAAGCTCTGAAGAAAATCCTCTATTAAATATATGGGACAGCACTCTGTATGTGCAGGCAAACACAAGATTTGGATGATGTACCTTGGTCTTTTCCCCACAAATTACTGAGGCTGGAACTTAGGGGCCTAAAGGGGAAGTCTAGGCAATGGGAAGTTGTTACTGACAGATAAAATCAAGGAACAGATTAACTCTTCAGATCAACTTGTATGGTTTTCTGGGGCTGACCTACCACATTCCCAAAATCCTTTATGTATGACTGTCCCTAACACAAGTTTCCTTTGGTTTAGTTTTCAAGCAGCTTCAAGGTTTCTTTCAGACTGTGTTGCTCACAAGTCACTCCCCTACTGCCAGTTGTGTCTGGGGCTCAAGGCCTTTTCTGCTGCCTCAGCTCTGACACAGTGGGTGGTGGAAGCAGAGCAAAGTGTGATGGTGTCATTAGCTGAGATTAAAGGTTTTTGTAAATGGCACAATGCATAACAAGCAGCAAGGAATACAGCAGTTTATGACATGTTGGGGGGTTGCACAGATGTTCAAAACCGTTAAGATAAAAATACTTCTTTCAGACTCTAACTTTCTTGAGTTTCTTGAGTGACAGTAGCAGTCCTGCAAAGTGCCAGCTGTGAAGGAAGTGTTTTCCCCTCTGTGGCAAGGGGCACACCTGGGATGCTCACCATAAACACCAAGCACAGCAACTCCCACTCTCAGTCCCCCAGGGACCCCCCACTTCTCCCTTCCCTGTACCTCTGGTTCCAACTGTGGGTCTAGCAGAAGTGAAGCTTCCAACCTGGAACATGGATCTTCCTAAAAGAAACTTGCAATTGCCAATTAGCCCTTTAGGAAAGCAACTGTTGACAAAGTTATAAAAGTCCTAAATTGTGCTGCAGATGTCCAATTGTTATTTCTGGTACATCTGTTTTGCAAAACACCCATTTGAAGCAAGAATGACTTTTCTGGTGCTTGTCCCCTGCAGACAGAGCTCCCATACTGACTCCAGTAACCTCACATGGGTCAGATATGCAGGACAGGGAGGTAAAGCCAGTCCTGGACTCAGAAGCTTCTCTCTCTAACACAAGAGTTAAAAGGAAGAGATGCTTGTGCTTGACATCCTCTTTGGAAAAGCTTGTATTCACAAGATTAACTATTTGGCTTAAGTGATGATTCTCATCATACACTGCAAAATTAAGTTACATAAGAGAAATTGTGTCAAGAGTTTTACAGCAAGATCTAACAATATAAAATCAAAAAGACCTAACATGAATAGATTTAAATGCTGTCTTGGTAATCTTTGAAGGTTATAATAATTCACTCTCCAAAATTTGAAGGTGACCATATGCACTTACAGTAGACCTGGCTTTTCAGCAATTATTGTAATGATTCTTCTAGACATTTTCACAGTGGGACTCTGTAAATGTGTTTTCCATTTTTTGAAAAAGCACCATTTTTCAATCTGAGAGCAAAACTAATTCCAGTATCTCTCCAATACATTTCCAGCATTTATTACTTATCAAGAAATTTATCTCAGCTAATACAATAACTACCCAGGCTATAAAACTGTAAATTAGTAATTATCTAAAGGCAACCAAATAGTTTTTGATCAGCTTTAAATATTATATACTCACAATATAATTAATACCATTTTGTCCCAGATTTTTCTTGGGGTTTTGTTTATCCAAATCATTCATAAATTAATATATCCCATCTTCTTTCCTGTTCTAGGAAAAAGCAAGTTTCTTTGGAAGTTAGTACAGAGTCATGTTCTCTGAGTTAACACTTAATACAGATTTTCATTACAGATTTACTGTAATGTTGTCACTATTGCTTAACAGGAATTCATGGTTAAGAAAAATTTGAAGATATAATCTGAATTTCCACACAGATTGTTTATCATCACAAGCCATTTTGCCTTCTCACAGAAAGCCACATTATAATTACAGCACATTAATTGCTGTACAGCAGCATCAGTAGAGCTCTTGAAGTGACATGACACAGTGGCATTTGCCAAGATGAGAAGGTAATTTCAACAACCTGAATCAGTGTGAAGTCATGGCAGGAGCAGGGGGGAGGAAAGATTTCCTTGATCAAGTTTTCAAGCTACTCAGTAAAACTTAATGCATATAAACCACACAAAAAACTGGTAGGAGGGAGAGTATTCACTCATACCTCAGTTCATGAGGAATTAAAGTGCATGTGGGTAGACTGACCCTAAGGAGAAGGGGACCAGCATCCTTCACGAGCCACAAGGCCAATCCAGCTGCTCTGCACAAGACCAATAGGAGAAGGCTCAGAGGCTGCACTGGAAGCGCCTCTCCAGCCTTCTCTGGCACCTGGCCTTGCTGACAGGAGTCAGTCGTGCACAACACAGAGGGTAACAGAGAGCATCATGTAAAAACTCACTGTTCAGGTCCCCACTGCTGCAGGAAAACACTGCAAAAGCCAGAAAACCTCCAGCTCCTCCTTTGCTCTGTGAAGAGCTGACCTTCACACATCAGGTGCTTGAACTTGCACACCTTGTAAGGCAGATTCTCTTCCAAGCAGCTCCTGAAGAGCACAGCAGCAAAGGTCACTGCCCCTGGCAATGCTCCATCCTAGAGAACACCACTTCAGCTTGGTTTCACATGAACACCATATTCAAGTGCCTGCATTAATCTCCACCCAGTGATAATTCAATTCCAACCACCCATTTTATTTACATTTCTGTTAATTACAATAAAAACAAATAGAACAGGTAACCTTAAAACCCATGCTGATTAACAACAGGACTTAAACTTTAACGAACTATTTGTCCTGTAGCTTCAGACTGCACATACAGCTAACAAAAATTTCAACTGAAGAACTGTGGTCAAAACTAAACTAACCAGACAATGTTAAGTGAATATTTAAAGACTCTAATTGAAAAAAACCCCAAAAACAAAAACCAAAAAAAACCCCCACCAATGAACCAACAACCAATCCCCAAGCTGTAATAATTTAAGAAGTTTTTATTGTATTATGAGCTTAAGATCAAGCCTCAAAACAAATTTTAAAAAAGTCCAGACAGCTCCAAGCTTTAGAGGCAGAAGCTGCTGCAATCAGCTGAGTGAGTCTGAGTGTTTCAGACCCCACATTTTAAGGCAGTGAGAAAAAGCTCCACACATAACAAAAACATCAACTCTTTGGGTTTCCTTATTTTAGCCTTCTGTTTCTAAATAAGCCATGCACTTCCCGTGCTTTCTAAGCAACACTTCCAGGACCTTACTGAAAACCCTTGTAAATCTCCCATGTATCCAGAGTAGCAAGTAGTTCTGCTACTACAAGTAACCTCAAAGTTACTACACAGAAGCCACTAGAAGTTACTGAATAGAGATACTTGAACATATTGCACAGTTCCCAGGAAACTCAAAAAAATCAGCTTCCAGGGCATCTGTGCTAACCTCCTTTTCAAAGCCCCTGTGCTTCCACTCCATTTATTTGCATCCTTCATTTCTGTCTCTTTAAACACTCACCCCAGTATTAGAGGCCATGGAATTTCTTCTGTTTCTTTAAGATACTAAAAATCAGAATAAATTGAAAAAAGTCTTCCTAATTCAAGCTGTCAGAATTTGATGACTATGCTAATTATTTTTTCACATTTAGTCTGAATAGAACTCTGATTATCGTTTTTTTAAAAAAAGCCCTAAACCTACAGAGTTTGTCATTTTTATTTTGACATCTCACTAAAAGGCTTTTAATCCTTTAATGTCCCTAAGTGATTACAATCTGAATTGCTATATAGCTGTATCTTTGATAATATTAATGAAAAAGTTGCAGTAAGGGATATGTATCTAAAAATATAAACCTTTTAAAAGTTAACAAGCTCTACCATGAAGCAATCATGCAATGTAGGACAATGTGTTTGCTCTCCATTGCAGTGTAGAAGGTTGTGTGTGTGACCTACTTCCCAGCTTTTCTCAGACAATTTACATACTACATTTACACCCCAAATCACCTCCTAGCTGAGATTGAGTTTTGCAACAGTTTAAGCTAAATTTGGTCCAGCTCTTTCTCAGACAGGACTTTGAGCTCCCTGCCAGGTTCTGCAGCCTGTGGGTTGGATGCAGCTGATCCAGCCTCTCTCACATGACTCAGGTCAAGCTTAGGTAACCAACCATCTGCTTCAACAAGTCAGCAGCACAGGGGTGCAGCCTTAACCAAACAAGCTATTTCTGGCAAGCTACAGCAGCTCAAGGCTAACAACCCCCCCATTTCCCTTGATATGGACAGAAGACCCTCCCTGTAGGGAAGAATGGCAGCTAGGAACAAGGCTGTCAGGATTGCCAGTCCATAGCTGTCCCAAAAAATCCCTGTATGCATGAATTATCTGAAACATTAAACTCCTCACAAAGGCACAGAAAGGCAAAATAAAACTGAATTCTTCATGAATTTCTAGTCATCATCTATTCCCAAGACCAAATTCAACCATAAAAAATAGCAAAATTAATGTTAGATTCATAATTAACAAACTGTAATCTATACAAACAATAGATTTTATTTTCTCTCAGATTAAAATATATTAATTATCCTTAATAACACTCAGGTTAAATTAATAAGTT